TCCCTCATTTTATACCCAAGACACCTGAGGTGAGGCCTGAAGACATGGGTCCAGCTTCCAGCAAATTAGAAGCCCCAGAACTAGGATCCCAGTTGCCTCTGTCCATGGCCTCACAACCCAATCTCAGTATAAGCAGACCTGCTAGTTTTCTGGTGTGTTTCCTGACAGTAGAGGCTATGATTAAAGGGATCAGCAACAAGCACTGCTTGGGAACAAAGTGAGCGCTCATGTAGATTCAAAACTGCCCCCACGCTGGGGCACTGTTGGTCAGTGCTGGGGAGGGCTTTTAAGTTCCCAGTTGGGACAGGGCAGGAAAATGACTGCTTGTGCTGTTTGCAGGCAGCTCCGAGACCAGACGAGCTTCTCCTTCTGCCTGGAGAGTGACTGGGCTGGAGGGGCAAAGGTGGACCGCACTGGCAGGGGACTTGCACTGGTGTGGAAGAGACAGATTCAGCAGTTGAACCGTGTCAGCCTGGAGATGGCCAGCGCTGTTGTGGACGCCTATCCCTCCCCACAGCTCCTGCTCCAGGTATGCTGCCCAGTGCCCTGTGGCCTGACTCCAGGTTTCCAGTGGATGGCTCTGGGAGGCCTTTGCAGGTCTGCAGAGATCCGTGGTTTGAGTGACCTAGGGACGACAGGTTCTCAGCCCCCCCACCCCAAGCTTACTGCCCCCTGCTGTCCTCATTCATGGGCAAGGGAAGACTGGACGGTGATAACAGGTCATTTGCCACTTCCAGGCTTATAGGAGGTGTTCTTCGGAGCAAGAGCGCCAGAATCTGCTTGCAGACATAAAGGTGCGCCGTGGGGAAGGTGTGACATCCACCTCCCGCCGTGTTGGACCAGAGCTGTCCAGGCGTATCTACCTTCAGCTGACCACTCTGCAGCCAGATCTCTCTTTAGACTGTGTGGACTGACGCTAGCCCCCAGGGCCAAGGATGGAAAGTTCTCCCAGAGCCAGTCCCACAAAGCTTTCCTGGGCCTCATTATCTGTGCCAGCCTCCTTAACTGTCAACACAGGACAGAATCCCTTGCCTTCACAGCATGTTCCTCCTCTTGTAGCAAAAATCAGGTGCCATGTAGGGGCCCCCTGCCCCAGTCAGCCAGACATAAAGGAACAAAGCCAGACCACTCAGACACATATTTAATAATGTAGAAATGCAAAAGAACCTCAGCATCCAGTCTAGAGCGCACGCGCGAGCTGCCTGCAGTGGGTCGGCAGGCGCAGGAGCCGATCCCTGTGCCGGCTTCTGTTCTCTCAATCTTGTCTCGCGTACTGTATGTTTAGTTTCAATAAAGCATTTGTACCAATGGCTCTGGAGTTTAGAGGAAGACTAAAGGGATGTGTAGAGACTGAGAAAGGTGTGGGCCTATGCAGCAGAGCTCTCTTCGGGGGAGAACGTGTCGTTTCTTTCAGGATCAGGACATCACAAGTGGCAGTCCTGTCCACATGGGCCATCAGGAGAGGCTGGACCCACTCTCTGTTCTGAACAGATTCATGTAGCTGCTGTGAAAGGTGAGGCCAGAGTGAGAAAAGCTGAAGCTGGCAGACTGAGAACAGCCACCTGCCCCTACCTGTCAGTTTCGAGAGAGAGGGCCCTACTTCTGAGCCCCCTGATGCCACTGGCTCCCCGTGAGCTACAGGTATAGTCAGAGGTCTAGAAAACAATTTAGATCTTAATTTCTATGAAGCTTGAGTTTTTAGGCTGCCTTTGAGGTATGTATTCACACCAACTACTAACTGCTGTCACCAGTGTGGCCTGGCCAGGCAGAACTGCTTCCTTATCCACTGGCAACCGCAGTGAATGTGCTGAAACAGGCAGAGAGCTTGGGCGGTCCCCATTTGATGGAAGCCATGTAAGTTGGGCCAGCACACCGCAGAAGCTGCCCAAGACTCACGGCTAAGAGTCAGTCTGGTCTGAGTTCTGTTCTCAGGACATGGTAAAAGAGGCAAAATGATGGAAAGAGGATTCTGTAGTGGGAGCCCAGTTCTGCCTCAAGCTAGGAGACCACAGGGAAGTCATGGAAGGACTCAGTTTCCCTGTCTCAAGTATTAGATTGGAATGAATGGTTCTGGTCCCTTTCATGGGCTGAGATTTTCTCTAATCGTTAATAGGTTTGAATGTCTGAGGTCCTTAAGAAAATAGATGTGCCCTCCCTCCCAATTTATGCCAGATTTGCTGAGTGTGGAAATCCCCCTGTCCCCAGTAACACGCTGCCTCCTGATCTGCCCTGGCCGCCCAGGGAGGAATGAAAGAAAGTGTTGGTGACATACAAAAGTATAAATGTAGTGACAGCTGACCATTTAGTAGAAACAAGCCTTGCCTCACACAGCTTTGTAGAACAACTAGAAAAGGCTGTTTTTTCCTCTCCCCACCCCCAAGGCTATTCCTCAGGCATGCAGGTAACTGTCCCCACCTCCCGTTTCACCTTATTCCACCAGGGAACCCTGACTAAGGGACAAAGAAGTCCTACAGAGGAGTTCTCAAGTACCAATCAGCAGCCATTTGATGACGGCAGGTAGGTCTGACGCTAAAAAGAGGTTGTGTCCAGCAGAACCCAATTCCATAGGAATCCAAGCTCCAAGGCCGGGAGGCAGCAGGTGTGTTGAGGACGAGCTCACTGCTGAGAATCGGTCTGCAGGACCCACCGGAGGATGTCGTGGCTGCGCAGGCCCCGGACCGCATTGTCGTAGATGGTGTTCACGCTGGTGCAGAGGGGCTGCCGCTGCAGCTCTGTCACCCGACAAGCCACCAGCCCGCCAGCCACGCACAGCAGCAGCAGCAGCAGCAGCTTCAGCACAGCCCACGACCGGGTGTGTTTCCGGGGTGGCGGCTTGCGGGGGCGAGAGCCAGACTTCGATTCTGGAGGGAGATTCACAGTAGACAGAAAAGTTCAGTGAGGCTGGGGAGACCCACTAGTATTCTACCAATCAGTGCTGGTCTCAACATAGATCCACTGGCACCCCTCTTCTCAAATGCAAACTACCAGGCCCTGAAGAGAAAACTTTGAAGACTACCTAAACTCTCAAAAAAAAGCTCATTGTGCAGAGACTGAAACATTTATTAAAGGCGGGGACTCATTTCTGGGTGTCCAGTTCCCACAGGCCCAACCTCCAATTCTCTGCTGCATGGTGACTACCCAGACCCCTGGGGCCAAGTGGAGGAGTTTATTAGGAGGCACCCTGTGTGGCGAGAGGGCTGCCCCTTTGGAGAAAGGCAGGTTTGAGATTTACTAAGTGTTGTTAATATAAGATGCATGTTGTTAACAGGGATTACCTGCTGGGGGTGCCATTTTCTGATACACAGAACTTTTCTAAATCTCTGCAGTGACATATGTTACACTTATAATTAGAGAGAAAAATTGGCTTTGAGATTTCCAGGCACTTGACTGAGCACCCACAAGCCAAGAACTACATGATTCTGTCACTGAGACTTTCTCACTCAACCTTATCGCCACCCTGGGTAAGGAGGTGTGAACCTCATTTTACTCAAGAAAACAAAAAGTTGGTGAGGTTAGGCTACTTGCTGAAGGCAAGCAAAGGCTAGTGGGGATAGGCAAGCTGGCCGCCAGCCTCCTGACACAGCCCTGCCCTCACAGGGGTCCTTGCTGGCCACGGGGAGCACAACCCTCCCACAACATGCAGCCACATCCATGCAGAAACTCAACCGGACCTACTCAGGCAACCGCTGCTGTGCGCCTTTATAGCATGGCTCCGCGAACAGAGGCATGTGATTCCTTTGGTGTTCAAGCCAGAAACAGTGATGTGTGCCAACTTGGAAAGAAAAGCACAGGCGGGCCAGCCTTGCCGAAGTGCCATGCGCTCAACACAGTCCAGCGCACTTCGTGGATGATGCAAAGGGCTTTTAAGGGGAACCTGGCCATATGCAATCTGTCTCCGGTTAGGAATCTAACCCTTACAGGGAGTATGTGCTCACCTGAAGAAAACACCTGTGCATAAACGTGATGCAGGGCAGGGAGAAAAACCAGCCAAGGCCTTCAGCCCCTAGAGGGCACCCTCCCCCCCCACATCTGTTACCCTCCAAGAGCTGCTCCCACGCCCTAGGGATATTGTACTGACTAAAGATTGCCAGCTCGTGCACCCCCTCACCTATGCCTGCAAAATGAGTCTCCCACCACAGCCCTGCTAGAACCCTGCAAAGGAGAAAACATACTCGGAGCCTGATTTGTTTCCTTCTTGGGTTTCTTCTCCTGCTCCCGCTTGGCTGCTTTAAGAGCATCGTACTCCTTTCTGCGACGCTCCTTCTCTTCTGCCTTCTCCCGCTTCCGCAGCTCCCGCTCCTGCGCCTCCTTAGCCCGCTGCTTGGCCTCCCGCTTCTTCTCAGCTTCTACAAGAAAGTATAGCCCCAGATGACTTACCTCCCATAGACCCGCCAGTCTGTTCTTCCAGGTATTTAGAAATATGGCTCCCACTATCTTTTCCCTAGGCCTTGAAGCACATGAGACTTTAAGGAAACAGCTGTCCTTCTGCTTTCCAGGAAGTGAGACTTAAATACATGAAGTGGCTCTCTGGGTTTGCTGAGTTGCATCCTACTAAAAGAACCCTGGCCACAGCAGGGGAGCCAGAGTAACACAGCAAGAGGGACCTGAGAGAGGTCCTGATGGTGAGTCAGGTGCTCCTTAAGTTAGCTGTGGATTCGCAAGGCACAGCATTGACAGCCCTGTACAACCCAGTCATGAAGAGAAGAAACAACAGAGGTACTGATTCTACGGGATTCCTGTATTCCCAAGCTTTAGAAAGGAATGTGGCATGGGGAGGGGTTCTCAAGAACAGAAAGTGAACCTTCAAGTTCAGGGTTAGAGATGATAGAAATAATATTTCTGGAAACAATAGTTTATCAGAGGACCATCTCTAGACATCAACTTGGTTATCTATGTGACACACTCAGACTGACTTCAGAGTTCAAGTATGTTTGCGTGGACCCAAAGGACAAATTATTTGTTTCTAAACTGCATTTTCAAATTAGATATTTGGAAGCTTGAAGTAGTATATTTTTCCAAAGCCAGGATGCCACAAATGGTGTTAAATGTCCTCTTGCAGCTTAAAAGCCTCTTTGGCCCATTATGTAGCTGAACAGCAATGCTAAAAGCGCTGTAGCTTTCCACTGCCTCTCTGTGGACAAACTCCACATTCCAGCTGGGCACTGAAAATGCCAAGCACATGCCACACCCAGCCGCGAGAGAACGCATGCCCCCAAGAAGTGACAGCAGCAGCCAGCAGAGTCAACGGGGCTGCGGTGTGGGCGACGGGATGGCCCTGAGGCATGAGTGGCTGCTGCCACCAGTATATCGGTCTCCCTCCACAGGGGTCCCCAGAGAGGGCCTCCGACGTCAGCCAGGCCATCTAGCCTACTGTGTGCCAGGTCTTGTCCTCATTCCTGGATACAGCAGTGAGAACAATTCAGGTTCTAGGACCTGAGTCACCTACGTTCTAGAGGAGACAGGCGATAAACAAGTGAAGAAACAGTAAAAATGACAGTGATATGCACCACAGGGAAAACAGTACAATTAGAAGCTACAAAAAGCTTCCAGCAGATAGTGACATAATTGTATTTTAAAACGATCTCCCTGGCTGCTGTGTGGAGAAGAGCTTTGTGGAAGAGGACATGCATGGAGACAGGACATCATGCCAGAAGGTCTTGATTATGGGGGTGGCGCTAGAAACTGAGAAACAGTCACATATACAACTTGCTGGCAGTAACAGAAAAAAGGAATGCGGACATCTTTCCAGTTTCAAGCTTGAGTAACAGCAGGGACAGTGACTTCCTACCATGGGCACAACTGGGATGTGCAAAGGGGCTGTTTTAGCTAGTTGTCAATCGAGATGCCCGGTCACCCTCCCAGCAGATGGAAAAATAAGAGGCTGGATCTGAAGCTATAGCCTGGTAGAGAAGCCAAGGGCTGAAAGGAGGTTGTCAGGGAAGATAACAGTGCCACACTGCTCCCTGCGTGCTTCATGACTCCTCAATTCTAACTACTGGAGCATGAGGACCACCGGCTAGGATGAGTACCTGGAAGACATCTTGAGGGACAGCCACCCACCTCGCTCTACTTCCAGCCGCCGCTGCTTTTCTCGCTCCTGATCCGCCTGCACGGCCTTCATGTGCTGTAACACCTGCAGAGGGAGGAGGCACTGGTAGGTCCCGACAGCTCACAGTTTTGCTCAAAAGAGACAACACTCTGGGATCCCAGAGCACCATGACCCAGAGGCTGTGCAAAGCTAATGGAGTTAATGGGTATTTGGATCCTAACTTACTACACCAACCTCAGTTGCAGAAGAGTTCTGGGCCCAGCTCATGAAGCTTTCGGGAAGTTTGTGAAACACAATGCCAACTGTAGTCTGGCCTGTGTGATGTCACAGACCTCTTCCTGTACCTTTTCAAAAATTAATGCCTGTAGAACTGGCGTCCAGGCCAGAGATGCAGGGCTGGTGAGAGATTCCACCAGAGTGGGGAGCGGAACAGGCAGATTGACTGAAAGACACTTCCATGGAGAGCACTGGGCAAGACAGGAGAGGTCTGCTGTACCATGTGGGTCACCTCCCTGGCTGGGGATCGAACTCATGTTGAAGCGGCCAGTGCTGCACTTTAACCATTGTGCCACCAGGGAGACCCCCCTTCCCCATATCATTTTCTAATCAGCAGGAACAGCATCTCCAAGATGCCTTGCTGACCTCTTTGACCCTCCTACCTACTGTGTGCCACCCTTGGGTCCCTCAGCTTCCCTCTTCCCAGTCCTCAGAGTCTTAAGTTCCCTAAGGGTCAGGACTACTGTCCTGTCTGCAGGCGAGATCAGAGCTTTACTGATTATAAGCACCCAGTACTTTAATGACTGATTTCTATTTCAAAAGGAAGAAAACCGAAATTCTGACAGGGTGGCCTGTTCATTTCACAAGGTGAGCGAGCAGCACAGCGAGGAGGGCAGGTATCCTGCACACCTAGGCCAGAGCTGGCTCTGCCTCCAGTGGAGTTTTTGAGAAATGGATACAGTGCTCGAGAAGGAACCTGAGGTGACAAAGGTTATTAGCAGTGGTCGCAAAGAGTGCCCTCCACTGCCCTTAGTCCCTTCCTCCAGTGCAGGCGGCTGGGCTGAAAAAGGCTACATCTAGCACTAAGGTGTCTACTTAGTGCTAGAAACTTGCAAACACTATCACCTTTATGGAATTCCATAATAACTGAGACTCAGACTCTGCCTTGATGCTCCTGCCCCGCTAACTGCGGTGCTGGCCGTGCGTCTGCGGGACCACATGGCTGTGGTTCAAGAATGGAGGCACCGCACAGAGCAGGCACAGGACTGTTTTACAACTTGCCAGGTAAACAGAAACAAGGTCCCTTTGCTCGACAGGTTCATCACAGAAATATCACTGGGACCTCAATGCTTTCATCAGCACACAGCTACAGGTGCCTTAAGAGGGAAAAGCAAGGAGGCAGAGGTGAGTCCCATGCGGGTGTGCAAAGGAAACACTTCCTGCTTACCTTGTTGGCGCATTGTTTACACTGCTTCTCGTCTAAGCAGTCACCCGCCACCTTGGCCAGGACAGGATCCAGGGGGTTATCCTTGAGGTCCAGCCACTTCAGGTTCTAAAGAGATGGGCAGAGACTGGCTAAGATCCTAGACAAGATGAGCAGGAAGCAACAAAGCCCCTCAACGTGACAGCCGCAAGGAAAGTCATCCGAGGCAGTGCCAGCGGGGTGGCATTTCTGTCAGCCTTTCTCCCGTCAGCCCCTGAGCCCTCATCACACTAACCCTGACACTGGCGTGAGTTGTTACCTTGAGTTGAGCAAAGCTGACAGGCAGGGTGACCAGCCTGTTGTTGAGGAGATCCAGGTGCTGGAGGTTGACCAGACGGCCAAAGTCTGCTGGCAGCTGCTGCAGCTTGTTCTTACTCAGGTCCAGCTTCACCAGGTGTGTGAGGCCACAGAAATCCGACTAGGACCCAAAGGGAGGACACGTAAGCCTCGGATTCACACACTTTGGTTAACAGACCAATGAGCCCCACGTATGTATAAATCTGGGCTTGACCTTTTATACCAGCTATTCCACCTTGACGAAGATGGAGCAAATGCTCACTGCTCCTGATATTAAGTAGTGAGGTGCGTACGTAAAGAGTTTAACTCAAAATAGGCTCAACGAAAGGGTCTTCCTTCATCCTCAGTTCTCCAACCCACTGTCTTCCACATTGCTACTGGATGGTTAAGGACCTGCTCTGTCTCCCTAGAGCACACTACATCCACTTTGCATGGCAGCTGTCAAAACACAGTATGAACCATGCCGTCAGTCTCCACTCTCCTGCATGCCAGTGCATGTAACGGTCAGGCCTGTTTGCTGTCTTTCTGCCTTTCCCGCCCACTGCTCTGGCTGTCTCCCACTTTGCCACAGCTTTTCAACTCTTATTACGCTTTGTTCTTTGTAACCCAGGCACAGTGCTTAGCACAGGTGCTCATGAGTGTTCTCTGAATGAGTCGCTGGCTGAACGGGTCTGGCCGTCCATATCCTGGCTCTTCTTCAGCACAGGTCAAAACATCCCTCTTGTCATTAAGTCTTTGCTCAGCACCATCTGAAGGGATGCTCAGCCTCAGCTAATGAGGCACTGCTGGTGCCATCAGGAGACTCTCTGGAGACCCCCTGGGGATTTGTAAATGTGACAGTGGATTTGCACTGCGGGGATAACAAACTGAGATTGGAAAGTGCACTTAGGGTTGCTGAGAAAGTGGACAGCAGGTGTCAGGGTGCAAAGAACTGCTACCCTTCTGTAAATACACACAAAATACTTCCTGGAAGAAATGGGATCTCAGATGCATTTTCAATGTTAGAAACTGTTCTTGATAAGCAGCAAGAAGATGATATAAACAATGAGTGAGGCTCAGGAGAATACTGAGGGGAGGAAAGGACTAATGATCCAGAGAAGAAATTGTCAACTTCTGAGACTCAATCCCTGAGCCAGTGTCCATAGGGTATAGCAAGGCATGAAGGCGGCCAGGCAGTGGATGGAAATGACAGAGATGCCAATAAATTTAGGCCTGATACTGCTGTGGAGGAGAGACCAGCTATTACAAGAAGTTGAAGGGCCAAATGACTTTAATGTCTAAGGTGGAGCAAAGGGAGAATTGGGGAGAAGCAGTGCAAGAGAAAAATCAAAAGGATTTAAACAGATTGGATATGATGAACAAAAAAAGCATCAAGTAATCCAAGGTTCGGGAGGATAATGATAAGGGATTTCCAGAAAGCCCTGTTTTTTTTTTTTTTCTTTTCTTCATCAAAAGATGTACAAGGAGTCTGCATAAAAACAGCTTTCACTCTGGAATGCAGAGCAACTTACAAAATGATCTTTACCCTCTTTTATGCAAAAGGGAGAGAAACTATTTGTCAAAGGAACAAAATATAGCAGGGGGAAAAAAATGAACCCAGTAAGTAAATACAGCAGAAAAAAAAAACTAATGAACCCAGTAAGTAACTCAGTCAGAATCCTGTTGACTTAGTTTTATGTGACCTAACTTTCCCACTGTTCTTTCTAAAGGAGGCCTGTACCTTGCTTCACTACCCACTGAGAATTACCCCACACTCAACACTCAGGCTCAGTTGTACTCCATCTACAGCCCATCATGCATTTCTGTCTTATTATACAACTCTCACAAACAGGAAGAGCATGCAGGGTTCTCGAAGGAATCCAGCTTGCTTGCCAATCTTACTGGTAGTGTACTCAGCTTATTGCAGGACAAATCCAGGACGGTGGCCTTTGGGAGGGCAGCCTAGGAAGAGAATGAGAACAAAATGTCAAACCAAGACATCGAACAATTCAGCGACATCTGCAAATGAAGCATTTTCCAAAGAAAGATTCCACAATCAGGAAAGGCCTTTAAAAAAAAAAAAAGGCACCAAAGTATAATATTCCTGGAGAAGAAAAAATTAGCCAGTCAACCAGGAATCCCAGGAAAACACAAGAAAAACTCAATTCTTAGAAATTCTCCACAGTATTTAACATTTTCCTAGCACTCCTCCTTATTAGGTCAGGACCATTCCTGACAGAGCTCTGCAATTGCAGGAACCCAATACCCACATTGGCTGAATGGTGGCTGAGTGGATAAGTGGGCGAGTGCGTGCTAGCCTGAGTGCAAATAGACCCTCGCAGTCCACTTCCATTTCCCTTTGGAACTCCATGGCCAGTGTTACACTGAGCAGGTGCTTGGAGTAAATGGCCTTGGGCAGCAACCTAGGGTCAGGCTGAAATGAGGCCAGTCACCTTTCTTGCGTGGGGAAGGAGGCAACTATTCAGGTAAGGAAGCTGGGTCCAGTGGTCAGAAGGTCTGAAGAATGAAGTTTGACACCTAAAACAGTTTTAGATATTACAACGGAAAGAACACTACAGTAATAGCTACATACACATTAGCATTTGCTGACTACAAAGTATTTAATGTTACAGTCTCTAATCACACAACCTTATGAGATGGGCACCATTATCACCATTTTATAAGAAAGCAAGTCTGGGGCCTCCCTGGTGGTGCAAGGGGTTAAGTCTCAGCACTATGAAGTTATCTGCAACCACTGCAGCACTGGTTTGATCCCCAGCCAGGGAGCTGACCCACATGGCACAGCAGACCTCTCCTGTCTTCCCCCACTGCTCCCCTCAGCAGTGTTTCAGTCTGCCCTTTCTGCTCCCCACTCTGTCACTCTGACCTATACCCCAGTTCTTCTAAGTAAAAATAAAGAAAATCTAAAAACAAAAGAGCAAGCTCGTCTCTGGCTACAGGTCAACTGGCCTGCCAAGGGCACCAGCTGAGAGCTGGGAGAGGACCTGGGAATGCCGGGAGAGGACTAGCTTCCATGCCGTGCTGCCAAGGCTGGGGGAAGGCTGGGCCAAGTGCCAAGGCAAGTGTAATTGGTTAAAGGCAGTGCAGAAAGCGTAAGGCATCCAAAAGGAGGCTAGTCTGTGTTGGGAACTGGTGGGAAAGGAAGGGATGTAGGATCTCTCTCCACGCTGGCAACAAACTCTTTGTGGAATCTTCCTGAGCCCTGAGACCGCGGTTTTCTGAGTTGGGGATGGGAGTTGGGCAGAGGGGTGGGCTGCAGCCACATGGATTCCCACTAGTTTCAGATGAGTTGGGAAGAAACCTTGCCAACCCAGCGGCCCTCTTGCATTCAAGAAAGGACGCCGCAGGGCCAGGGCAACCAATAAAAAAATCGCGGACTTCCAAGAAGAGCCGGCTCTGGGCCACACCCAGTCTACCCCAAGGCCTACTTTTCCACCGATTCATTCATTCATTTGTTCATTCATTCTCCAAGTACAACTCTCAACCGTTCCAAAGCGCGCCTACTTTAGTTCGGGCAAGGAGCTGAGCGCTGTGAAAGCTCGCCCAAATTGCGCGGGGGAGACGCACCGATTCACTCCTGACCAGTAAAAAGCCTAGGCCAGGCCGTCACTCTCCAGCTTCTGGAACTGTGCCAAAGTGACACGTGTACATCCCAGGAAGAGCACTGAGTCAGGGCACACCCTCCCTGGGGACTAGACCCCCCCTCTCTACCCCCCCCAACCCCTTGGTAGTAAGACGAGGAAACTGAGGCACGGGAAAGGCGGAAGCCCACGCAGTGGCCTGCGCCCGTCGTGGGCGGGCGCCTGGGCTCGTGGGGCAGCACTGACCAGCTCCTTGACGGGGACCTCATTCAGATCGCTGAGGCTCAGGTCCAGCTCGTTGCCGTCCAGCTTGTCGCGGAGGTTCCCGCCCTTGCTACCGGCCTTGGTCATGGTGACGCCGGCAGAACGGATCCCGGCTCTGAGGCACCGACGGGCAGGGAACGGGCTGAAAAACTGCTCGTCGGTTCAGCTGACTCGCACCCAACCGACGACGCCTGTTTTCTCCGCCACCGAAGGTGCGAGACCGCTGCCGCCCGCCCTCCTTCCCGCAGCACTCTAAGCCCCGCGCCCTGCTCCCACCGGTGCCGCCGCGACGACGACCACTTCCGTGTCCACGTCACCTTCCGCGATCACTGAGAAGGACCGGGCCAGAGCGGCCCGAACGCGCTCGGAGCGCCCTCTGGTGCCCACAGTGGCGCACTGCAGGCGCCGCCACGGCGGGAGAGGTGGGGTTCAACGCGGCAAGCTCAGCTGAACCACGCAGCGTTCCCCAGGGACCACCGCGGCAAGCCTATGGTCTCCGACACGCGGGCCTGGGGCCAGAGGCGTGGTTTTGCACCCAAAACTGATCTCATCAGAACACTCCCATTCTCCGGGAATGGGCGCAGAAACTGAGGAAGTGTCAAAAACGAGTCCCTGTCCTTCTTTTATCAGCAAGTCCCAAATCATCAGCATCCAGAAAAGTCAGTCTCTGCATCTCTCTTATTTCCTCCTCACTGGCACAGCCATTGTCCAGGCCGCAGTCAACTCTTGTCTGGATTACTATGAGTCCCTCTCCTGCCCACTCAAACCAGCTGCTCTGATTTTTTGTTTAAATCTTGCAACATCTTTTCTCTGACTAAAACTCTTCAAACCTCCAGCTACTGAATCACACTTCTTTCTACACTGGGTCCTGCCAGCCTCTGCAGCCTCCTTACAAGCACCAGTCAGTAACCCACTGACTAGGAGTCAATATAGGCTTCAAGCCTCCATAGTTTTCTCTGGTTGGATGGACGGATGATGGATGGATGGAATCCTTGATCCACTCCAAGATCCTTAGTTTGTTCATCTTTGAAATGAGGATGTTAAAATTTATTTCAGACAACTGTAAAGACAAAGTCAGTTCAATGGACGACCCATTTAACAAATCACTGCGCACACCCCTCCCTGCAACCCCCGCCGCCCCCACCTAGGCACTATCTGGCTTCAGGGAAATTGGTAGTAATACAGTAATACATTAGCACTTGACAATCTTTAATACCCTTGGTCATCTTTTTATCTTATTTGGATAATGTGCAACAGGTTAGCAATCTTTAATGCCCTTGATCCTTATTTTGATAATGTGCAACAGATCTTTAAATAACATTGCTTCATTCAAAGTGATTTCTTTGTCATGTTGATGGTGGAGAGGAGAAGAAATTGTATTCTCAACCAGGATCACTATGTGTGAAGTTAGCACATTTCTTGTTGTCTGTGTGTAGATTTTCTCCTGATTCTCTGTTTACTCCCATAGCCCAAAGATGAGCACTTGTATGTTAGCTCATGAGTGAATCTGAATTGCCCCAATCAGAGTGAGTGTGAGTGTGAGCATGCCCTATGATGAAACACAGGTGTCCTGTCCTACTGTCCTGAGCTGCTGGCCATCAGCCTCCTGGACTGCAACAGCTGGGGTGGGAAAATGAGTGAAAGAACAAACCAGATGAGTGTTTAACAATAGAAGAGTTGGGGGTGGGGTCATTATTCATTACTTAGTAGTTAGTAATGTTTTTGTGTCCAGAACTTGATTTTATGACTGTGGGGAGCTTAACTCTTGTTCATATCAATTATCCTATGGTAAAACTGGTTTTGCTTAAAGTCACATTTTTCAAGACTTATCAATAACATTAAACAGGGACATACACACATAATGAGACTAGTAGGCACCTTCTATTACTATCTCCCCTTTAGAAAAAAAGAAACTTAAAAAAGGAAAAGTAACCTGTTCTTAATCATCCAGCTGGGGTTGGGGAAGCAGACCTGAATTTTTTTGTTGTTTTTTTTTTTTTTGTATTTTTTTTATTACAAAAGTTTATTTTTACATCATTTTGTACATTTTTTTCCATCACGATTGTAATCCCCATGGGTTTCCCATCACCAAATCACCCGTGTGCCATTACCATAATCCCGTGCATTTCTCTCCCCCTCCCCCTCCGTTTTTGATCCCATTCCCCACTCCACCACCACAAAATGTCTCTGGTATATGGTTGTTCATTATTTTTGTTATTTTCTCACCTGGTCCATTATACTCCTGCTA